GCTGCCGCCCCCATAGCTATCCCCGACGAAAGAAGAATATCGTCTGATGAGGTGATAGGAGCCATTAAACCAACCAAGAACATGAAGGCCGCTGGTGTCGATGGTGTGGTCAACCTCGGGTTGAAAAACTTGAATGTTGACTTCTTCGAGTACCTTGTCTTCAATAAGTGTTTGGTGCTTGGCTACTTCCCTGTATGCTGGAAGTTAGCCAAAGTTATTCCAATTCACAAGCCTAGCAAAAACCCCACCAGTGCCAAAAACTATCGCCCCATCAGTCAGCCTCTGGTCCTTCAACTCGAAGCTTTTCGAAACGATGATACTCAGCCGTCTGCTGGGGTTTTCAAATGATAATAACATCTTTCTCAAAGAGCAATTCGGGGTTAGGAAACGGGTTACAAACTCCATAAAGCGGAACAAGTCCGTTTACAAGACATCTCCTATGGCATTGTTGGACGTTGAGAAGGCGTTTGACAATATCCGGCATGATGGCCTTGTGTATAAGCTGCATCGATACAACTACCCGTTATTCCTTGTTAAGATCGTCAAAAACTACTTGTTGGGCCGATCATTCCAGATCTTCTTGAACAATTCACCATCTGATCAAGCATGGGAAAATTCATTCACTCGCGCGAGTGACACAGAATCGAAATAGCCATCCTCACCTACAAACAGATTGCCGAACGAGTGTAAATTCTTCCAACCAAGTGACTCTGCATGTCAACTCAGAACTGACAGCAGTAGAAGAAAAGAAGGATAAACTCAAAGGCAGCCGAACAATTTTCTCTACCAATGGAGAACCAGATTGAATGCGTAAGATCCAAAGGCTAACGATTTAAATAGCCGAGTCAGATAGTTTTTGGCTCACTGATTTAAATCAGTTGAATTGGCCACAGCAGTTTTACGGTATTTGCGTGATGTTTATGTTTATGTGTTACAGTATAACGGTTTTCTCCATATTAACAGCAATTTAAATGTGTCAAGGTATGTTTAAAGCTGCAAAATTCTCATTCAGCTCCCTCATCAGAATGCAATCGTAAAAGGCTCAGCATGGCAAAAATAGTAAAAGAGATATCATCCACACTTCAAACTCAGAATCAATCGTTTCTGATGTTGTACATGCCACGTGTGAGTGAGTAGTGAATGCAAAATGATTCGATTTTTCCCATGCTTGCATCTGATGCGTTCAACGTTGATGCTGGGGCTCCCCAGGGTAGCCCCTTTGGTCCCATCCTCTTCAACATCTCCACGTCAGCTGTTCCTCCTCTTGGTGGTATTTTGTCAATGTTCGAGGATGGCACTGCCATCATCTATAAGGGTCAAATGATCCATGCTCTGACGAGAAAACTCCAATCAGGCCTGGATGTTCTGTCCGACTATTTCAAAAGCTGAAAGATTTATATCAATGTAGCTAAAATACAGACCATACTATTTCAGCACTCCAATTCACCTCGCCTTGTACCGCATAGTAACTTAAAAGTCCATCTTGATAATACTCCCATTGAATAGTCGAGTGAAGACGTCTAACTTGGTCTCACCCTTGATAGCAAGTTGCTGTTCAGTTCCCATGTGAAAAAAAAAACATCCACCAAGTGCAACATCTTAATTAGGTTACTCTTTCCACTCATCAACAGAGTACGGAATGCAACTCTGGGAGAGCTGTACCATCACCTCAAACTTCAAAGGATCCAGGACAAGATCCTTAAGATGATCCTCAACAGTCCCACGCGTACTCGAAATTCTGAGATATACCACCTGGCTGGTCTTCAAAAACTGGAGGACCGGTGTACGCTCATCCTCGAAAGGTTCAGAGAAGCCTGTATGAGATCATATTACCAGATCATACGCGATCCAGCTAATTAGGTTTAGTTATTCATAGTTAGGTAGGTTATCATTTTTTTTTATTCAATGAAAACGCACCTCAAATAGGTATCCTGATGTATCGTTGAAAACCGTAAACCCGTATATTAGATTTTGGGCTACAAAATGGTTAGTGACAATCTGGAAGGAGCGATATACCTAGCTCCGGTCCTCACAAGTTCCTACCGCACATATGATCACAAAAGACTGCCAGCTGAAACATGGACACAGCTGGTTGGCGTAGCCTGGGCAATGTTGTCAATCCGACAATAGCAGAGTGAGGAGGTGCGACGCGAACACTGGCGCGGAAACCTTAGCACGGTGATAGAGGAAATGCTTCGCCAACCCGAGCGTCTGTTCACCATGGAGGTGCGGCTCAAACAGCGTCTGACTGGCATTCAGCGGCTGAATAAGAAATGCTCTTCCCCGGAAGCTACACCTAAGATGGCAGCCCCATCACGGCGGATAGGAGACCTTAGGCCAACCACCTACTGTCTCTGAAACCTTTACAATTGTTACAGAAACCAACAGAGAAAGACATCGAACTGATATAACGGCAACGACTTTTAGCGCAAAACAACGGACACGAATTGGAACATGGAATGTATTGACGTTAGCCCAGCAGGGTAAACTGGCACAACTCGCCAACGAGGCGCGACGCATGAAGCTAGAAATCCTGGGACTGAGTGAAGTTCGTTGGCCAAACTTTGGAGAACACAAACTGCCGTCGGGACAGGTACTACTATACTCTGGTATTCGAGGTGAAAACGCTCCCCGCCATCGTGGAGTTGGTCTCCTACTTAGCGTCCAGGCAAGTGCTGCGCTAATCAAGTCGAAGCCTGTTAATGAGAGGATAATCGTTGCCAGATTTAGAACACGGGTTCGTAACCTTACAATAATCCAATGTTATGCGCCAACCGATGCTGCCGAGCTACAGGACAAGGAGAATTTTTACAGTCAACTGAATGCCGTCGTGGATAAGGTTCCAAAGGGTGACATCAAGATCTACACTGGCGACTTCAATGCGAAGATCGGCTCCAACAACACAGACTAGCGTATCATGGGACGCCATGGTCTCGGCGAAATGAGCGAGAACGGTGAGCTGTTTGCAGAATTTTGTGACAATAACGACATGACGTGATGGACATACCGAAAATCAGATCGACCACATCTGCATCAGCCGAAAATGGAGACGGAGCTTTCTTGATGTCCAGAATAAACGCAGCGCTGAAATCGCGTCTGACCATCACCTTCTAATCGGTGAAATCCGCCTACGCATGGCGCAGATCCAGCGACGGGAGGAGAGACTCGGGCGGCGGTTCAACACACGCCGACTTGAAGATCCAGCGGTAAAAAGGTCTTTTGTTGAAGAACTTGAGACTCGAGCTGCGGACGTTCCAGAAGGTGGCAGCGTAGAAGAACAATGGACGGCCATCAAGAATGCCTTTATATAAACAAGCGAGAACAACTTGGGTAAGCTGCGCACCCAGAGGAAAGAGTGGAACACAGATGAAACCTGGCGGAAGGGCTGCCTTTGCGAGTTTACGAAACGTATGGAGATCCAACCAGATAAGTCAACGCATCAAAATCCGAATTTTCAACTCGAACGTGAAATCTGTGTTGTTATACGCCAGCGTGGTGTGTATCAGCGGAGAACACTCAAAAGCTGCAGGTCTTCATCAACCGATGCCTACGGTATATAATTCGTGTCTGGTGGCCTCACAACTGGATCTCGAATGCCGAGCTCCATCGTCGATGTCATCAGAAGCCGATAGCAACAGAAAAATCGAGAGCAAAAGTGGAGGTGGGTCGGCCACACACTTCGACGGGGCGGAAACGAAATCTGCAAACAAGCGCTGGATTGGAATCCAGCAGGACATTGCAGCAGAGGCAGACCCAGGGGCTCATGGCGGCGGAGCCTCAATAAGGAAATTAAGCAAGTCGATAGGAATCTCAAGGCAAAAGCGAGCAGCCACCCAGGATGGAAGTCTTTCACGTTGGCCCTTTGCACCGCTGGTGGTGCACAGGACCCTTAAGTAAGTTAGTAAGTAAATTAGAATAAAAAATTAAACAAAGATGAAGAGCCGTACGAAAAATGTAAAATCATTTTCAATGGAAAATAAAACGCAGTTTTACTACTACGTAGTCTACGTCACAAAAACCACAGCAGATGAAGTCCGACCGAAGGACGTTGAACCAGAAAATTATGATGTTACCATGTAAAGGTTCAAGCCGGCGCCGGTGGTGTAGTGGTAAGCGTGACTGCTTTCTAACACCCCGATGGGTCTGGGTTCAATCCCAGCCGAGGTCGGTGGGATTTTTCTGAGGCATAAAAATCTCTGGTCACGTCTTCCTTCGGAAGGGAAGTAAAGCCGTTGGTCCCGGCCCATGTGTGTTGTGAATGGGTACGATATTCTACGCAGGTGTGGAAGCTGCCTTCCTGCACATTCGATTGCCGTCAATGGATGGCAATCGATGTCCGTCGGTGATTGGCACTAGATTGCGGAACAGAGACCGACGTTAAATAAAGGAAAAAAAAAAAAAAACCATGTAAAGGTTAAATTATGATGTTATCAATGATGTATTCCTATATTATAATTGTTGACCGTTTGATTTTAACTTGAACAATGATGCAAAGATCAGATGTGGTGAGATGTAATATGGACGCCTAATAGTGTGGATATTTTTCTCTCATTGAAACATAAGCTGTTGATTACATTGCTTATTCTAATGGATGATTGTGAAAGTTTCGTTCCAATGATTTACAACCAAAATAAATCAACAAGTTTGAAGATTTCAGCTATCAAAAACAGTTCAATATAAACAGAAATAAATAAGGCAATTACTTTAAATGTATGCAAAAGAATCACCGCTACCAAAACATTCATAATTCATAAGATCAGAAATACATTTAACAGAGCTAAAGCTTATACAATTGAAAAAAAAAATCAAGTAAATAAAGATAAGGTCAATTTTTTTTCATGATAATCGTAACGCATTCCCCTTTGTAATCATCTAATTTAATCAAAGACCGTTCCATGTGAATTGCACTTCTCTGAAAAATGTATTTGTTTGACTCATTCGCGGTCATCCTGATTATTGATTATTAACGTCTTAAGGCAGATCCGATCCGTTCCACTCACCTTCAGTCACGTCTCTTTCTTAGGCCTTCGTTCGATGTCCCCTGCAAACGTCCCACCAATTTGAATCTCAATTCACTAATTAATCTTCTTCAATCTCCCTTCAATTGATTCAATTGATCTCCCCCTCTTCCGGCATTCACTGCTCCCTTTTACTTAATCTGATCCGGCCCCATAATCCGATAAATTTCACCACCAATTTAATTCTCCGCTTTTCACTCATTCACTCACTCATTCACTTACACTTTCGTCAACCGTCCCGAACCGTCAATCGCCCAAAACCCTCGGATCCCGGCCTAGAGAAGAAAGCTCAGCCCGTCCTGTTATCCGCCGTCTTTCATTCCACGACCAAAGTTCCACTTTTATTACTTTCTTCCTTCCCTTAATTCACCCGTACAGGCGGCAGCAGTCGGGGGCATCCAGTTTCTCGAAAGCGATCACTCTCCGAGAATAACTCTCATTCACCTGGGACACAACACTAACCGATGCACCTTTCCTGCTTCTATTTTTTGCTGCTCGTTCTTCTTCTTATTCTTCTTCTTCTTCACCTTCACTCCTCGGGCGGCGCGGGAATCACCGACACCGAATTTAATCAAACAAATGGAGAATCAGCCTCACGGCGCTTTCACTTTCGCCATCCGCTCACTCCACGACGGTTTAAAACCGGCTCAACGCCCACGCACCTTCCACCTCGTTCGTCACGCCAATCCTACTTTAATCACCCCCCAGACATGCACACTCACATGCTAACGCCTGGAACGAAACCGGCGATGAGCAGAAGCCTTAAATCCTTCCCGCGAACACGAGAGTGCCCTCTTTAATCGCTTCGGTTCCTAAATCAAGTTTAATTGCGAATTTCGCTCCCTTCCTGAAAATGCTGCTGTTGTTGTTGTTGTTGTTGTTGATGGTGTCGTCGTTGATGTCGGTTTGTTCACAAGCAGGAGTCAATATGTATTTTGCTTCGTTCGGAAAAGCGGAATCCCGACGGGGGAGGCAAACAACGACCACTTGTGTTGTTTTTCCAGGATTTTTTTGCCCCGCATATGTGTTTCGAGACCTGCGAGGGTGTAATGCGGTATTTGGGCGTGGTTGGTGGGCGGAAAATTAATAATGAAACTTTCTGTCGATGAGCATCTCTTATCGAAGATTTGGCTTCGGAGGGGATTTTCGGATTCCGGTGCTGTGCGTGTGTGTGTGTGAGTGTGCTTTGCGGGGAAGTTGGTTTTCGATGGGTTAAGATTATGGCCCGGAAATCTGGGGCTCGGCTAAAGGTGAACGCGTGTACCGGGGGATCCTGAAAAGAGCAAAAAGCAGAAGAAGGTCGTCAGTGAAAAGGAAATGAAACTGATTCATTTGTTTGGAGATGGGTGGCGAAAGTTTTAAGCACATGCTCAACGTTACTTTAGTTCTGAACAGCATCCATTTCCAAAAATTATTATCAATGATGGTTGGGAAACATGCTCAAGCATATGCAAATCGAAGCAAATTTAATCAAAAGGAGTAATTGATATATCCATCCACGTTACATATGTCAGTTCAATATTGCTTAAAGATGTCATGGAAATAAATGTAGTTCAGCTGATAATATTCTACTCGCAGAACTTGCTGGGTTGATACTCATCTTCAGTGGAAGTATAATGCATTTTGAAAGCTGTAGCGTATCAAAAAATTACCCGAATATCTGCCTTAGAACCACAGCAGCACGGACACACTTCAAAAATACCAAACAATATAAAGGTCTTCTTTTCCTACCTCAGCTTGAACCTCTACACATGTGGTAGTTTTCAGCTGCAATCGCCACTACACAGGGTTCTTTATTGCATTGAACCCCAAACCCACAAAACAAACCTGGGTAATGCGGGGCCGGTAAAGAAAAATTACTCCGCAATTTGTCAACTCCAGCCTCCCTCCGACCATCATCATTGAAACATACTGCAGCTGTTCGCTGTAGATGTGTACGTTGGGTACGACCGTGTGTAACTTTCCACTACCCCATTGTTGGCCCCCAGCAGCCCTGTTAGTAACAGCAGTAACATGGACTCTGGCGTTTCCTTTTGTTTTATTTGCCTTTGTGTGGGTGGCGAAGGGGGAGGGACTTTTTACTGCAGCAAATAAATTTAAGCGTTGCTGGCGACCGGATCTGCTCCACTCTGGATGGTCACCAACGCTTGGAACGGGTTTAGCTTGGCTGGAGATATTTAAATTATTCTCCTTGGATTGCCACTTTCACGCGAAAAGTGAAAATAATCGGGAAAATAAATCAGACGAATGTTAATCATTTTTTAGGAACCACTTATTCACAAACAAATTTATTGCCGCCCCACCAAAGTGAAACGAACGAAATCAGTGCGTTTCGCGAGTAGAACTTCTGAGTGGTTTTAATTGCTTCTCTGTAAATTTAATTCAATTATCTACTCGGTTAGCGGAGCAGTTCATTTCGATGTTGTTGATGCTAATTTGTTTCTAAGAAAACGATATCATAAATCTATCAGTGAATCCGTGAAATAATGTCTCAGTTTGAGATCGTTACCAACGACCGTGCGTCTCCATTATTGGAACTGCATCATTCAATGGAGTGCAGAATGAGACACAAACAGAACAGAAATCAAATCATTCCGGTGTCCCCGGAGACGAATCATGAACGCAAATATTTCACTTCAACTTGAAGTCAACAAATATTGAATTTCCATGCATGACGACAGCTAGCAGTACTCAACAACAGCAGGAAAAATCAAATCAGCATTCTCCCCTCGGTATTGGACGAGAAAAAAAAACTTGACATATAGTCACTTCATTCAGGACATACCTACTAAATGATTATTTTTTCTCAAGGGCAATTTTGTATTTTGTCTTGTGTTCCGTTTCGCCGACGGTTTCTTCTTTTTTTTTTTTTTTGATCGAGCTGGAGGGAAAGTTTAAAGACACCTCATAAAATTTAATTGATTCTGGTCCATCCAAAAAATAGAAGAACGAAGAAGGGCGGCGGAAGGATGTCGGGGAAGTTTCTAATTTATTTCTAATCAATTTTTCATTGTGTTTCCTCCGGACGGAGTGATAAATCTGTGCGATGGTGATTGCGGTGAATACTTGATGGGGAATTGGAAGATTGAAGGAAGACTTACACTCTTCGTCAGTGTTGTAAAACGAACACAGGTGAAGAGCATAGGTCATATGAGCGAGTAATTTAAGTGGAATGTTGTTCTTTTAGAATTATACCTTCATTCCCCCCGACCTCAACTTAGTGATCTTTGAGCGCTTTTACTCTTGCTAAAAAGGAAGTTTGCTAGGTTACAAATGGAAGCCCAATCTACGCGGCAAATTACGCCAACTCACAGAATAAAAAAAAGTTCCTTTGATTTTCCAGGAAAAACTTTTCATATATGAGGAAAATCGAGAGAATTTTCAAGCAACCTTTTTGTATACTTCTGGATTGAGTAAAAATTTTTACAATGTTCCTCATAATCGAGCTGAATTTTGAAGGAAAGCTAGGAAACTTTTACAGAGTCTATGAGTATCCTACGTTTTTTTTTTTCGATTATGAGCATGATTGACCGTCCGAGGATGCAACTCTATCACTGGCGTGCACACGGTGAGGCAACTTGGGGCCATTGCCCCCCCCCCCTTCATAAATAAGATTTGTGTTTCCACATTTACAAAATTATGATATAAAATAACTTGATTTCTTGATAACTGGATTTGAAGGTAAAGTAACTTCATTTCATAATATAAGAGCACTAAAAACCTTTTATTGCGTCAATTCCTTTGAGATGGCCTCAAAATTGTACCACAAAGGTGCATGAAGGGACAAATTTCAATGAAATTTTTTGGTAAATTTTTTGCATACCAAAAATTTTTAGAGTATTTTTTTTTCAAGGTGGTTTATGGAGAGTTAAAAGAAGCGGGTAAAATTAAGGCTGAAAAATTCACCTTCGTGGTGGTAATTCGAAGAAAAAGTTTTTTATTGAATATTTCTGGTGTAAAAATATCATCAAGGTGGTGCATGGAGGGACTAATCGAAATGAATAACTCTGGTGGAAAAATTGAATCACGCTTAAAATTTCGAGGTGTACATTTAACAGAAAATTTCTGGTGGAAAGTTCTCAACACTGTGGTGAATGCAGAAGCAATGTTTATAAATTTTTCTGGTGCCTAATTTGCATCGTTCTGATGAATGCAAGCTGCTTCATCATGCCTGCAACGCCTGAAAATAGCACCACAAAGGTGCCTGGTGAAACATGATGTACCGTTCTGGTGAATGGAGGAGCATGCTTTGTTGAAAATTTCTGGTGCCAAATTTGCATCGCTCTGATAAATGAAATGAACAGAAAATTTCTGGTGGAAAACTTACACTGGTCTGGTATATGAAGGCATAAGCTTTATTTAAATTTAAGCTATATTGAAAATTTCTGGTGGAAAATCTGCACCGTTCTGGTAAACGGATGGGCAAGCTTTTCGGAAAAAGTTTGGTCTTAAATTTGCATCGTTCTGCTGAATAGTGAAACAAATTTTATTAATAATTTCTGGTGTAAAATTTTCACAATTCTGATGATTGAAAGGAAGCTTCTTTGCTGAAAATTTATGATGAAAAATCTAAACAAAGGGAAAGCTTTATTTGGTGGAAAACCTGAAACATTCTGATGATAGGGGAAGCCAGCTATGTTGCAAATGTCTGGTGGAAAATATAAAAAGGAAATCTGCACCAATCAGAAGATTGGAGAAGCAAATGCACATTAACGGTGAACAATTTGCATCGTTCTGGTTTCAATTTGCTGGTGTAGAATTACCTGGGGGCAAGTTTGTATTGAAAATTTCTGGTGTAAGATTTGCAACAATCTACTGCATGGAGGGGCAAGCTGAATTGAAAATTCCTGATGTAAAAATTGCACAGTTCTGGTGAATGGAGGGGTAAGCTTAATTGAACATTTCTAGTAGAAAAACTACAACGTTTTGGTGAATAGACGGACACCTTGAACTTCCGAGAAGAACCTTAAGGGTATTGAATTCTGAGCACAGTTCAAATGAAAAGATTTTTGGGGAGAATTCAAAGAAAACTCTGCAGATAATTTCTAGTGCATGCTGCAGATATTTTCTAGATAATTTCGAAAAGAATACCGAGAGAATAAAATTTTGAATGAAATTCCAAAAGGATACTGAGGAAAACTTCAAGGGAATTCCGAGGATAATTTAAAGCTCATTCTGGGAATAATTTCTGGAGAATACAGAGGAAATTCTTCTGAAGCTTAAGGAGAATTTCAGTTCCAAGGTGTTCTGAAAAAAAAAAGTTCTAAAATATTCCGAGAAGAACCTCAAGGATATTGAATTCTTAGGAAAGTTCCAAAATATTTCTAGGGAAAATTCAAAGAAAATTCGGCGGATAATTTCTAGTGCATGCTAGATTTTTCTAGATAATTTCGAAACGAGTACCAAGAAAATCAAATTTTGAGTGAAATTCCAAAGGGATTTTAAGCAAAATGTCAAGCGAATTTTAGGCGAGGATAATTTCTAGCTCATTCCGGGGAAAATTTCTGAAACACCAAAGAAATTTCAGTTTCAAGGTGTTCGAGAAAAAAAAAACATGAAGAGTGCTAAGTATAATTCCAGTGGACTTCTGAGAAGAATTTCAAAAGAGCTCTTAGGAGAGTTCTAAAAATATCCGAGAGAACTTCAAGGATATTGAATTCTGAGGACAGTTCTGAAGGATTTCTGGGGAGTATTACAAGAAAATTCCGCGAATAATTTTTAGTGAATCCTGCAGATAGGTCCAAGATTATTTCGAAAAGAATACCCAGAAAATTAAATTTTGAGTTAAATTCCAAAGGGATTTGAGGAAAATTTCAAGGGAGTACCGATAATGTCTAGCTCATTCCGGGAATAATTTCTGGATAATGCTGAGAAAATTCATCTTAAACTCTACGGGAATTTCAGTTTCAAGCTGTTCTGAGTATAAGTCAAAAAGAGTTCTATAAATAATTCCAGAGGACTTCTGAGAAGAATTTCAAAAGACCTCATAGAGTTCTAAAAAATTCGAAAAGAATTTGAAAAGTCATTCCGTTAACAATCCTGTACTCGCTTGTCAAAATAGTTTGGTGCGCTTTTGTTCCAATCGTTACATGCCGAAAGTAAACGTCGTGATGCCACCAAGCCACCACGCCACCACCGCCGGCAGAAAATAACATATCATGCCGCCGCCGAAAATATTTTGATCGGCGCACAGGTCTAGTCTGGAGCAACAGGTATTATCCTTTCTGTTTTCAATAACTAGTGGCAAACTTTATGAACTTTATTGCTACAAAA